AAGTTTGCCTTTCCCTACTTGCAATTCCTCTGCTATTCCTGAATGAACCTGCCTTCCCTGCTGAGATAACTGGACATTAGATTATGAAAGCTGCTGATGACAGTTCCATCCAGAGTCATTTTCCCTATCTCTTCTCATTGGTCTTCTCTTCAGAGCTGAGGGCCTCTCAAAAGTCTGAGGAACCTCGGTTCACACTGGAGAGTGTGTATAAGATGCTGGTGGGGAGCTCGAAATGGCCCGTCTGCTGACGGGCACAGCCTTACAGTTGTTGGTGGAGACCAGTGTCTGGTGGGGACCCCTGTGCTAAGGACCAGAGGCTTCCAGGAAGAACCCCGAGTCCCTGGTTGCTATGAGATGTCCTGCCGGGGGGCCGGCTGTTCCGTGCGCTACCGCTGCGCCTTCTCCATCTCCGTAGGCTGGGCACCTGAGCTGGCGGCCCCCTGGCCGTCACGGAGCCCTCGGCCCCCACCTGCTGCACAGTGAGGCCAGGGCAGGACGTTCGAAAGCCTTTCAGAAGCCAAGTCCTTCTCAGGATGGATTGTTGAGCAAAAGCCACCTCTGTTTTGGAGGAAAGGCAGTCACGAGGGAAAGCCCCTTGTGGGGGTGGGCGCAGTGAGACATGGTGGGCTGGCCTGGGGGCTCCATCCAGCCTCTGCTTCAGCTGCCTTGGTTTTCACAGGGAAACTTCCGGACACACAAGCAGCTGCCTGGGCTCCGGTCCCCGCTCCGCCTCCACCTGCTGGGCGGCCTCGGCGAAGGCCTCAGCCTCTGCCTGCCTTGGTTTCCTTGCTCCCGGTGCGGGCACGGCAGCCCCTGCCCAGGAGCCGCTGCAGGGACAGATGAGGTGCGGGTGGGCCTCCACAGGAGCTCTGAGCAGTCTGTGGCCTTGGCTGTGTGCGAGGCGGGTGACCACAGCTCGGGTCGTTGTCACTTGTCAGCCCCCAAACACCCACGGGGGTGTCGCACACAGGCCCCAGAGCAGCCGCTGGGACGTGGTGGCCGCGCTCCCGCACCTGGCCCCGGGATCCTGATCGAGAGAGGCTCAGGCCTCCACTCCCATCACCCAGAGGCAGGAGGCCAGGCCTCCTTGGATCCGGCCTCGAGCGGTCAGCTTGGCTGTGCAGCCACGATGGGTGTCTTCCTGGCCTGGGGGCCGGGATCCGGTCTTTTCAGGAAACAGACTCAGAAGTAAGGCAAAGAGAAGAGCCTCAAGGGAAACAGTCTTTACAGCAGAAACACTCGCAACAGAAACAACTTTAAAACAGCCTCCTGTTCAGGAAGAGGGAAGGATCAGAAGCCCTGATTACCGACGAGCCGAACGGGGCCCGGGGCACAGGAGCAAGCGGCCCAGAGTGCCTGCGGCCGTCCCGGGGGCCCTGGAGAGCCGGCCGCCAGCAGCGCTCGGGCGGAGGGGAGCCAGTGGCAGGGCGGGTATTTTCCTTTCACTGAAATCACCCTTCAGTTACTTCCGAATTTACGTGGCCTCCTAAGTCGCCTGCTCAAAACTACTCTCAACAAAGCTGCCTGCCTGTGGGAGCGGCCGCCGGTCGAGCCTTGCGGCCCTTTCGGCCTCTGAGCCCCTG